CTGTGTGTCCATCCTCCGTAAACAGAGCCTTCCTGACAACACACGTCTTCTCCAACCTTATCATCAAACTTCCTCTCCATATTCAGCACCAGAATAAAAAATGCCCGGGGACTCAGAAAAATCTGGTGTGAGGCATAATATGAACACTGTCCTGCAAAGTCAGTCATGGTGATTCTTTTATCTGGATTTTCTGAAATATCTTCTACACCTATCTGTAAATTTCCAGAAAATTCTGGACTATGAAGAATATCTTTTCTTTTCTTCATAACTTCGGCTACATTTTCTGGTGATGTGGCCCCCTGTGGTTCATCGGATGAGGTAGGATTAATATCAATATCATCATGTGATATCTGTCCACTGCTTGATGCTTCAGTCGTACTGCCCTCATCATCTTCTAGTTTCATCTTTTCCTGCGTTTCCCCATCATCAGCTGCATTCTCTGAATAGTAATTAGGAACACTCTGCTTCATATCTTTTTTATCAAGTCTAAGTTTAAAGTGTTGCTGTTGGCGTGAAGAGTTTGCTGCAAATGAAAATGAATGCTTATTTAACACCTTCTAATTTTCTTGTCCCTGTACTTTATGCAAAGAGACATTTATTCTACTTCATATAAATCTGCAACTCAAGAAATAAAATCTAGAGGTACTGAGAGTATTGAGCTCATGAAATGATATCCCATGGCAGCTTCCATATAAGTATGATGGTGAAGTCTACTATTGAAAAACCAAATATCTGTCCTATCTTAACATAAAGAATGAGCTACGCAATGACAGTATGTAGTAAATATTAAAAGTATCATTTAACTTTATTCAGTTCAGAGTTGTACAGGTGGAGTTGTAAATACAAGATGGGTACCACCAATATAATGGAAGTTCCTAAGTTTTGATTTTAACAGGAAACGAAAAATATTACAATTCAGGAAGTATTACAATTCAGGGGCATTATACTGTAAATGTATTATATTTAGCGCGTACGATATTTGGCGGAAATTGGATTTTAAACAAGTTAGCGTGGATTTTATTTAGCGCATTTCTAATTGTTCTTCTTCATAGATATATGTGCGAGATAGTTAGCGTTGTACTTGAATTAGCGGACACTTCTAAAACGCTAAAAAGAATACACAGCCAAATGTAATACGTTTACAGTATTTCTACCGTCACATGAACAAAATATTTGACAAAATATTGAGCATTCACCATTTGATCAAATATGACTCTTATGAAATGATTTACTTTTTTTATTTGAAGTCCATCATACAAAAGCATTAAATCACAATCAATATAAAAAATACCTTGGATGCTTTCTGTCACATTAAACAAATCAGTGTGGATATCCACTCCTCTAGTTGACCTGATATTTTTCTTTATTTCTTCCAGGTCAATCCCCTTAAGTCTCTCCAACAATGTTGTTTTCCCACTACCAGCACACCCTATTATCATCCCAGAGGCATGATACATGGTTGTCTTCCCTTTCTTTAAATTCTCAATGAAGTTCGTCACTGATTTGTCTCCCCGTAGTATAATCTGCATTGGTATTCCAACTGTAATGACAAAACTCTAACATTACAAACCTGTGACAGAGTCAAACGCATGACAAAAAACAATCATAAAAATAGCTTTCCTATCATGGAGATCCAAATAGCACATGTATAATTTTCATTGATTTGTTTATTCCTTATAAGTATCCATAAAATTAAAAGTATGTTAAAAAACAGATGAGCATATTATATTGGTTAGATAAAAATATTTTTCTGTTTAAAAAATTAAGCCTGGGACGACATATAGAGATATCTGTGAGGACGATACGCATATCGATACATACGAGGGTTGTCCCAAAAAGTCGTAGACAATGTGTATAATTTTTAAAACCTGCAAACAATACGTATCAAATTTTGCAAAGACATAATATATTTAATATTCTTTAAAATTGTGAGTTTTTATATATATATCTTTCATTTTATTAATATTAGGACGATTTATATGAAGACTGATAAGGCCTGTCGGCACACGGACAAAATTCGGAATAATTTACGCGTATAACTATTACATTTGCTTTTATTTCTTTAGTACTATGTAATACATTGAACTCAAATTTAAATCACTGAAACCAGAATTAAAATCTTAATATTATGTTAAAATTTCATAAAAATAGCATTAGAAACAGAAGATTGGTGTCTTGATTTTCATAGTATCGTTGAAATTGAGTATGTTGAAAATGACGTCGTCAAACAAGTAACCGCGGCACGGAGATGTTATTAATTGTGTTGGATATAGTTAATATACATAAGAGACGGGGGGTAAAAGAGTACAAAGTGATATTACACACCAGATTTTAAAAAAGAAATTATTATTTAAATGGCACAATATTCAATGAGAGTTTTTCCTCTATACCGAAAATAGTTAATGACGGATGTAAGAAGTAGAGTACTGTTTGATAAATGCAGACAATGGGAACATTCTTGGACCGCGAACGACGTCAAACAACGTTGTATTCGATCTTTGCTGCCTACAATGTAAGGCGATTTTTCGACTAAATTTCGACTGAAATTTGAATCTGCTTTAAAAAAAAATCAAGTATAAAAACAATCGGACAGTCGTGAATTTGAATAAGTCCCATAGTCAAGAGCGGTCTATCACTTTAAAAAAAATGTTGAATGTTAATAGACGCGAGTGAAGCAGACAAAGAGATCATGACGTTAAAAGAGATGTAAATTACGTTTGCTTTCATGTGCCGGTGTACACTCACATTCTTTTTTCTTTATTTTTTCCCCCGCTTTTTCGAAAGCGAGGGGACATTAAATCTCATATCAATTGTCACATTATACATGTTTATGATATCTTATTCATCTGTCATCTGTCCGTACAAAAACTTTAACCTTACCCATAACTATTTGATTTAGAGGGGGAAAGACTTTCATATTTCACATGAGAGAAAGAAAGGGGGTCTTCTTTTGGTGAAAGAATGAATAACCTTTTGACCTTGACATAGGAGTTTAACCCACTTTTACACAAAAATTCCAAGCTTTTGCTTAAGCCATAACTTTAGGTGTCTGGTTTTAGCGCTTTCATATTTCAGACACATATGTATAGTTGTGTGGCGTCCAGCTGTATCTGATCTGTGTGTCTAAACAATTTTTCTAAATGCTACTCCTCCTACAGTTTTGGTCTAATTTCAATATAACTTGGCATACAAGTAGACTACACTGAGTGCGGTAACTCTGTTTATCAGTTTTTGATTTCGATGAACGGTGTTGCCATGGTTACTAAAAATAGAAATTTCTGTAAAATTGTTTCAAAATGCTACTCCTCCTACAGTTTTGTCTGATTTCAATTTATTTGGCATACAAGTAGACTACACTAAGATACATAATTCTGTATATCGGTTTTTGATTTCGATGAATGATGTTGCGGTGGTTACTTACAAAAATAGAAATTTCTGTGAAATTCTTTCAAATGGTACTCCTCCTACAGTTTTGGCTGATTTCAAATAAATATAATTTGGCATACAAGATGGATTTACACTTAAGATACATAATTCTGTGTATCGGTTTTTGATTCCAATGAATGGTGTTGCCGTGGTTACTAAAAATAGAAATTTCTGTAAAATTGTTTCAAAATGCTACTCCTCCTACAGTTTTGGTCTGATTTCAATATAACTTGGCACACACAAGTAGACTACATTAAGAACATAAAGAGACTTTATCAAGGATCATTATACTATTTATGACTGTTGTAAAGTTTCAATTCCCAACTGCTTTAGTACAAACCAGAAGAACTTCAGTCTTGACAGAGACTTCTGGTTATTATTAAATGTGAAATCGTCATGAAACTTGAAATGCATGATCATAAAATGTTACTCTTTGCTATGACAAGGAAAACTAGAACTGTCCAATAGGGACAAATACCCCCGCTGGGTTTTTCAGAGAAGGTGCCAATTCAAAAATACTTTATGGATCTAGAGGTGTTCACAATTTACTTACAAAAATTTGCAGTGAAATATAATTGCTCATCATGTTTCTTAATGAATGAAACAAAGGTGCAACCAAATGAAACATCAATACTAATACATTGTAATTCTATTGTAACATTATTTTTTTTATTTAATTTTTTTATTTCTGCATTAAAAAAATATATTGCAATTATGTGTTATGTCACTTGCAAACTAATTGTTGAAAAAAAATCATATTATACAAAATCAAATTAATCTTGATATCAAATTCACTTGAAAATAAAGAGCTGGTCATCCAGTAATGAAGTTCTTTGACAGACAATAAATTACAATTAAGAGAAGAGAGATCTTTAATTCTTGTGCCTGATTCCCAGGAGATTACACATGGTTGATAATAAGATGCCTTAATGTTCAACTTCCCACACCAAACTCATTAATTTATCTTTAACTGGATGCATGTCCAGTCATTATTCCCAAGAGATAAATAAAATTACATTATCTTCTATGCAATGTAAAAACTGTTTTTAACACTTGATCTTGTTTCTTTTTTTAAAGTTTATATGAGTAGTTTTAAGCTGTAGTATTTTTGTACAGATATTCTAGATTCTATGTCTCAAACCTTATACATGAGCCCAAAATGAACAAGTCAATTAAAATAAAAAATAAAACCTGTAAAATGCAAAAAAATTAACAAAAAGAGTTGAAAATTCCAATTGCACACCTTCATATGGTGAATAATAAGTGTACAAATTTTCAGATTAATCCTTGCAATAGTTTCTGAGAAACGGTCCGGACAAAACCACAAAATAAAAATGAAAAAAACACCTGTAAAATTCAAAATAATAATCGAATCAATATGAAAATATCAGGTGCACAACTTCATATGGTGAATAATATTTGTACAAATTTTCAGACAAATCCTTCCAATAGTTTCTGAGTAATGGTCCGGACAAAATCTCGTCTACAGACAGACGGACAGACGGACATGGTGATTCCAATATACCCCCCCTAAACTTCGTTTGCGGGGGGTATAAAAAAAATGCCTCCCTCCCTCATCATATTTTTTGAAGAAAGGCCTGAGAACCAAGGAACTAACTTTGCATGGCCTAAAGTGTGTGTCATCTGTCCTTAAAAAGCCCACTTACATGTACTGTAAATCACGTTTTATTCGCGAGAACTTTATTTTCGCGTAATTATGCGAGACAATGACCTCGCAAAAGTTTCATTCTCGCGTTTAAAAGTATTCCTTACAATAATAAAGAGGAAAAAAACAATTCGTGAAAATTATGTCTTGCTAATAAAGAGTCAATGACTATCTCGCTAAAATATGGTGTCACGAAAATTTAGTGATCTACAGTATATGAAAATTTTGTACCTTTATATTTCTTTGCCCATCTTTCTAAATACAATATTCTTACCTCAGTTTAACTCAATAGTGAATGATAATTTAGACCTGGCTTGGAAATTATCAGTTATACTGGCTGCATTAATTCCAAAAATTATAGGAAAATAGTGAATAAATTCTTAACAACTAGATACACAAAAGTGAAGACGATTCCCTTTTTTTTTAATCCCTTTTGCTAGATTTTAACTTTTTTTGCTGAATACAAGAAAATACTCAGTTTTATACATGTACAAGTATTTTTTAATTTTATGGAGTGTTTTCATACATGTACAAGATTAAATCTGTATGATTTTGGTGGCAAATGATTACTTAAAAAAAAATGTTTGTAGATGCACATGTATAAGCATATTAAAGCAAGATAACACAATAGGCCCATGGGCCACACTGCTCACCTGAGCACTGTGGCTAGGAAAAAGTAGAAATTGGTTTATTTATTATTGAACAGTTTAAATCCAAAAGTAGCCCCATGACCAATCATGGCTTTGCTGTCCTTGATAAGATGATTTTTAAAGAATTTTCCTATATATGTCTATGTAAAACTTTGATTGGCCATTTTGGTAGCCCCGCGGTACCCCCGGGGGTCATGATTTGAACAAACTTGAATCTTCACTACCTTAGGATGCTTCCTTATAAATATAATCAATTATGGCTTAATTGGCTTTGTTATTCTTGAGAAGAAGATTTTTACAGAATTTTCCTATTTATTTCTATGTAAACTTTGGTCGAATCTACACTACCTGAGGATGTTTCCCCATAGTTTCATCTTTCCTGGCACAGTGGTTCTTGAGAAGAAGATTTTTTAAATATACCACCAAATTTTCTTTAATTCCCAATTATCTCCCCTTGAATGAGGGCGTGGCCCTTCATTTGAACAAACCTGAATTCCCTTTACCCAAGGATACTTTGTGGCAAGTTTGGTTGAAATTGGCCCAGCGGTTCTTGAGAAGAAGTCGAAAATGTGAACAGTTTACAGACAGACGGACAGACCAGCTAGACAGACAGACGGACGCCGGACAAAACGTGATCAGAAAAGCTCACTTGAGCTTTCAGCTCAGGTGAGCTACAAAGGTAAACTTTCAATACCTCTATTATGTATACATTTGCAAAAAAATTACTAACCCCCAACCCCCTCCCCGTCCTGGCCACACACTCCGTTCCAATGCCTATACCCAAAAGGGTACTCATGATTTGAACAAATCTAAATCTTCAATACATGAGGATGCTTACATGTCAATATGACTTAACATAGCTTTTCTGCTATTGAGATTTTTCCCCTTATTCTCCGATGTAAAAGTTTGTAAAATGATGATTCACCATTGAAACCCTTCCCTAGCCTTGGGGATTATAATTTGAACAAATTTAATTCTACACTACAAGAGGATGCTTTCATGTAAAAATGACTTAACAAAGCTTTTCTGTTACTGAGATTTTTCCCCTTTATTCTCCGATGTAAAAGTTTGTAAAATGATGATTCACCATTGAAACCCTTCCCTAGCCTTGGGAATTATAATTTGAACAAACTTAATTCTACACTACATGAGGATGCTTCCATGTAAATATGACTTAACATAGCTTTTCTGTTACTGAGATTTTCCCCCTTTATTCTCCGATGTAAAAGTTTGTAAAATGATGATTCACCATTGTAACCCTTCCCTAGCCTTGGGAATTGTAATTTGAACAAATTTCATTCTACACTACATGAGGATGCTTCCATGTAAATATCAATAATCAGGGCTTTGTTATTCTTTAGAAAAAGATTTTTGAATTGAATATATTTTAATGTAAAACTTGGATCCCTCGTTGTAGCCCCATCCTATCCCTGGGGGTTATGATTTGAACAAACTAGAATCTAAAGTACATTGTACCTGTTTTTATATAAACAGCACTAATCATAGCTTTGCAGTACTTGAAAAGAATTTGTTTTCTCTATATATTCCTATGTAAAACTTTGATCAGCCATTGTGGCCTCACTCTTCCCCAGGGGAGTCATGATTTAACAAGCTTGAATGTACACTACCTGAGGATAATTCAACATTAGTTTCATCTTTCCTGTCCCTATGGGTCTTTAGAAGATTATTAAAGATTTTTCCTACATATTCCTATGTAAAAATTTCATAGCCCAATGGGCACCATCCTACCGCCAGGGGTCATGATTTAACAAATTTGAATGTACACAACCTGAGGATAATTCAACATGAGTTTCATCTTTCCTGTCCCAATAGTTCTTGAGAAGAAGATTTTTAAAGATTTTTCCTATATATTTGTAAAAATTTAAGCGGCCATTGTGGCCCCACACTTGCCCTAGGGGTCATGATTTGAACAAACTTAAATCTCCACTACCTGAGGATGATTCCACAAAATTTTCATCTTTCCTGGTCCAGTGGTTCTTGGGAATTTTTTTTTTAATGCCATTAATTTTTCACTATTTCATAATTATCTCCCCATGGCCCCTCAATTGAGCAAACTTTAATCCCCTTTACCCAAGGATACTTTGTAGCAAGTTTGTTTGAAATTGGTCCAGTGGTTCTTGA